CAATAATACTAATATAGAATATTAATTTACAAATTAATTTACAAAGTGGTCGAAATTGATCTGTTTTAACAGAGAAAACCTATTTTCTGACTAGATAGAGTAAAACCTGGTAAAACCGACATAGATGTCATGGAGTCAACTGAGATACGGGGTCTTTTTGAATTTTTTACCATTTTGAAAATTGCCCATAACTTTTCTATTTTGCGGAATAATAAAATTCTGTAAAAACGTTCTTAAGGCACATTTTTAAGCACAATCCAGTGGCGTAGTCAGTTTTTTCTATGTTTGCTCTTTTTGTCAGAAAAAATAAAAAAATATAATTTTTTAAATGGAAATCATAGTTGGCTATGAACTTTAAAAAATGCTGGCGTTTAACCCTTCCCAACGGTATAAAGTTATGGGTATCTATTTCTAAGAATGAGAGAAATATTTGGTTTTTTATCTTTATATCGAAGCGGGCCTTGATTTTGTGTTGACCTATTTGCCTAATTATTTTAAATCACAATTTAATATTCTACATTATTATTTATCTGCATAGGCAACTAAAGACTTGTGAAAAGGTAAATCAACATTCTATATTAGTATTAGTCATTACAATGCAATCTCTATTTTTTATTTTATTTTTACATTCTCCATTTGTATATTGTTATATGTATACCTAAAATTAATAGTTTTTGTAATATTTCAATTTGTTTAAACACATGTTATGCCGAGTCCAGACCAAGGCGACAAAAAGTAAAAACGATTTTGAGACAAAAACAAGACAAACTTGTCACAAAAAATGGAGACCTCTGACAAGACAAACTTGAGACAAATTGTCCACACCGCAATGACAAAAGTACAATAAAGTCAAAAGTTTAGTGGTTGCGAATGAGTTTTATTAACCATGTGTGATTTCACTGGTCTCCCCCTCCCACTGTTGGCAGCACACGCCATCCACACTGCGCCAACCGCCGACAACTTGTGTCAAAATATACGAACAAAACATAGACACTTTAATCTTTACCGATTCGAGACGGGACATTGAAATGTCTCCGAATTTTGAAACAAAACAAAAATGAGACAAAAATGTCAGAAAGACAGAAACATATAGGATTTGTCACAACTTTGTCGTAAAACATGAACGTTTCTGTCTTGTCCTTGTCACTGTTTTGTCTGCTTGGTCTGGACCCGGCATTAGATTTCAGTGTTGTAAAAAATTGTCAGTGATGTCGTTGCTCAAGTTGGAATTCAAAAATTTGGTAAGAAAGTTTTATAGAGATGAAGAAAAAGATATATGTAAAGATATTTTAGTTATGCCTCATGTATTGGTTTGCATTTGATTTTAACTTTTTAAAAACTTTTTTGAACTTTTTAAAAAAAGTTACGAGAGATTGTAACCTAGAGATCAGAGGACATCATTTTCCGTCTACCAATTTACATTCTACACAAATCATATAGGACAAAATCCGCAGGTACCAATCTTTCGAACCTTTCATAAAGGTAGGTATCTGAGGATATTGTGCTATACCTATATTCATATAGGACATAGAAATATTTTATATAAATCTTTCTTGAGCATTATATTACCGTTCTGGTCATTTCATCAATATTACTTTGGTAAAATTTCGTTGCTAATAAAGAGATCAGTATTATCGTTAACTCGTATATTGTTTTATTTTTGTACATGATTTTTGTCGATTTCCTAGTTCCGTGAAAATGACACTCGGGAATTGGCAGTCATTCAATAACGATGGTCCGACCGGGTCATCGTGTCCTGAAATTCGGAAAAACAATTTCCGAGTAATTTTTCCCTAAAAATAATGCCACACACCGCATGGAGAAAGACCGACTCGACGATCTCTGAATTCATAGCCGAAAATAACTGCGATATAATTACAATGTCGTTTAGACGAAACACTAGAAACTACTTAACACCTTTCAAAATAATACTTTAAAAGTGTAAGTAGTAGGTGAAAAAACGTGCCGGGTTCGCACGAGTATTTTTCCGCAATTAAAAAAAACAATGAACCCATCAAATTATGCTTTTTATTGAAGAATATTTAAAATATTACTTATTTGCCGATGAAGACTGATAACCGAAACTATAATACAACACTAATTTATTGAAAAAAAATTGGCGCCGGGAGGCACGTATAGCCGCCCATACTAAAATATGTTAATACAAAGTTGGTAGGCAGTTCTTTTAGTTTCAAAGTAAAGTTCCTATCTGCCACCTGGGGTCGCATCCGATGGGAGTTTGGAGTTCTCCACACGGATTTTCTCAAAAACGGACTACGGAAACACGGAATATCTCAAAAACTGCGACTTTGACTGATTTTGATGTTATTACAAATTTTGTTGCAAATTATTATTGCTAATTTTAAATTGAAAACCGCGTTTCACTAGCTACTGTAATTTTGGAGTTACAATTTTTAAAAATTTTTAATCCCCTCCCATACCCCCTTACCAACCCCCCACACCGACCAAAAACTAATGCCCAGATTCTCGGGTGCCACAGTATTTTTGTGCCAAATTTATCGTGTTACAGACGGACAGCCGGACAGACAGACAGACACCATTAAAATATTTTGTATTTAGGTCATTTATGACCCAAATAACTCATTTTGAGTGAAATTAAAAAAAAATTTGCCGATCTTAATAGCCTACCATACCTGTTGGCCTGTTGGTATGGTCGGCTAAAAAACTGCCTATTTCGTTACTCTAATAGAAGTTTCTCAGGTCTCATGATTGAGAAAAATCAAAAATTTTCCGTGATTTTACAGGATACAGGACACTGTCTCCTCAATAAACACCTCAGTAGATTAAAGCTAAGAAACAACAGCAATGAATAACAGCAACAGAATGCACATTCTGCTAAGAAACAACAGCAACAGAATGCACATTCTGTGGGAAAAATGGAACACCAGACCAGAACACTTCCTCATTGAGTGCGTGGAGACCAGGGGCGGATACAGAAATTTAGTTTAGGGGGGGCCCAAAATAAAAAGTAATGTATAAAATGCATTTTAGGGCGCCATTTTTAAACTAAAAGCCTAATATTTAACACAATTTACAGATTTTAGGAGGGGCCCGGGCCCCCCCTCTGTATCCGCCACTGGTGGAAACGACAACCATTTATGCCATAACCTTTGGCACGACTGATATCGGAGATGAAGAACTAAACTCTGTGAGACGTGAGACTGGCTCAAATACTGGTTTTTGTCAAAACCCTGAGACTGGTATAATGAGTTATAACTGGTTATAACTATAGACAGATGCACGAGCATTAGATCAGATAGCCCTAATAAAGTGGCCCTAATAAAGTGGTTATGAGAACGTGCAATTAGTTTTTTGATTTTCTAAAAAATAACGACAGAAAAAAATAAAATGTATTTTCAAAAAAATACGTTTTTTCCAAAAAACTCCGCAATCCTAGAAATTTTTAACACTTTTTTGATTTGACTTTTTTGCAACTTTGCCCCAATTTAACCATGTTCGTATCTATTACGGTTTCCGAGATACCAATGCTCGTACCTCGAATTTGTAGCACACTGTATAACTTCCCCTCTTCCCATACAATATTCATCTACTCGATCCAATAGAAAAAGAAAACAAATATAGAAGAAACTTTTCAAATTAAGTGAAATGCTCGTGCATCTGTCTTTATTCAAAAATTCTAGTAGGTATGAAAATAACAGTTCTTCGACATGGATAGCAAGAATCTGATGTCGAAAATAGCAGCGCACTATCACCGACCGCTGACGTTGTGATGTGGTCAACATTATATGTGGGGATAGTCATAGTGCTACAAAATTTTACCAAGTTCGCCAAAAGTTGTTAAAAAATAACATAAGTTTACCCACATCAGTTCCGAGAATAATGGACCGCTCTTGATATGATATCGGGATCACCGCTACACGAAGTTCTGTCAAGCTCGCAACAGTTACTGCATTTCAAGAGAACTGCAACAAGTCAATTTTAAAAAGACTTAAGTCTTAAGTGTCTATTTCACTAGTCCGAAGAAATTGTAAAATAAGCATTCGGCATTTAACGTTTTTACACAAATAAAAAGAAGAAAATTAAAGATAAAGGATTATAGGTACTATATCCGTATTGTAGCACGTTTTTAGACCGTATTTTGTTAACTTCTTTATTTTTAAGATTTTGGTGGTCAAACATCAACAAAATATTCCTTATGTTAATATTATTTAGTTTTAGCCTTGTTTTAAAAATTCATATACAAGGGTTTTAGTTAATATTTATATTATGTTCCTAAATTTTCTCGAAAATAAAGCCATAATTTAAAATTCCGTTACAATAAGAAAATAAATTGAAGTTTTGTGATTCTAGAGAACCACAATATCTATTATAGGTCGGATATTTTTTGCACATCATTGATTTCTAACGAGATCTATCGAATTACAAATGTTTCCAATATGGTGGCATTTCCAGAAATACCGGAAGTTGACAGCAACCTTCTTATTTTAAATGGGTGTCCCCATTTTTTATAACATACTTGAATTCTATGAATATTGATGTTAAACTCTCTATACCTGATGCTGGAAGTACACACCCGCCGAGGCGCGACAAAATATTAAAGATATGGACATTGTTATTGGCTAGGACCGTCCTTTTTTTGTCGCGCCTCGGGTTACATCGGCGAGTGTGTACTTCCAGCATGACATTAACTATTTTTAAGAAAAAAAAATATTTAACATTTTTGGAAAACTACCTGTCAAAAAAAATTGTATAGCCTAAAAGTCAAATTTAGTGATTACCACAGCCACTGTGACATAAAGAGAAGACACTATTGGAATTGAACCATTAAAAAATTATCATAAATCATTTTTTTTTTCAAAGAGAAACCCACTTTTTTATTTCACTAGTAAAAAGGTTTCCCAATTCATTACTTTTTGAGTATACATATTCCTACACCTAAAATAATCGTTTTTAAGTTATTTAAGATGGTATTATAAAATCTAAAATTAGCCCTATGATCAGAATATTGAAACAATATCAAATTTAAAATTTTTATTTCAAAAACATATGTAACCTTATATTGAACTTTTTACAATATGTAGATACAGATATACACACACGTACGTTTAAATTTATTAAATTTTGCACTATTCCTTTTAGTCCATCTCAAGTTTTTTCCTTTTCTTACTTTTATGTTTATGTTTCAGAGACAATCCCGAGTCATCTAGGGACTCCTGCGAATGGCTCATGTTAAATTCACTCTTTATTTGGCTTAATATTTCGTCACTATCATTATGCTTTGATTTCTTCTTTTTCTTCTTGCTGTGTTCTATCTTTTCTTCTCTATTCTTAACGGTAGGTGTAGAAAAGAATGCTTCACTAGCAAACATATCCAGCACACTGTCACAACTGCTCACTTCAGACTTTATCTTCTTCTTTTTCTTTAGTAACTGTTTCTTTTTATTCTCCTCAGCTTCAGTAACTTTTAGTTTAATATCCTTCTCTATCTTTACTTTGTCTTTGTACATAGCACCAAACAAGGGATGGCGTGATTTTATCGTTTCTGGTAGTAGAACATCTTCTCTGTCGGTAGCCTTTAGTAATCTTAGTGGCTCCTCTTTGAGCGATCTTTGCAAAGTTATTTCTTTATCTATGTTCACCAGTTTCGATTTTTGTAAGTTTACAATCATGGGGTCAGTCTGTTTAGGTTCAAATGTATACTGCTGATCGTTGAGCGTGATCTCGCTGTCTTTATTTAACTTGATTTTTTTATTGAGCAAAAGGGAGACATCAATATTTTTCGGAATCCTTAATATGAAGTAATCTGTGTCACTCTCTGGTACATTTATATTGTAGTTTTGTTCTTCTAAATGAGGATATCGAACTTGTAACCTCTGTTGCCAAGTTTTCGGTGTTAGAGATATTTCGTCTGGTTCCTGTTTTATAATACCTGAAAAAAACACAAAAGATCATATTTAAACAGTATAAATAAATATATTTTGAATAATACTAAACCAAAATAAAAATAAATTAATATACGTAAAAAAAATTATATAAAAAAACGATGGCTCTTAATGAAGATCGCTGTGTCAGCAATAGTGATGGGTTACAGTTGAGGGTTGGAACCTTTGGTGTTACACAGCAAAATAAAAACACTAAATCACCACAATACACCAAAACACTTTTACTTTTACACTGGACGCGCGTTTCGCTAACCATGTTAGCATCATCAGCAGATGATTATAAACTCTGTAGTCTATAATTAAACTCTGCAGTTTATAATCATCTGCTGATGATGCTAACATGGTTAGCGAAACGCGCCTCCAGTGTAAAAGTAAAAGTGTTTTGGTGTATTGTGGTGATTTAGTGTTTTTATTTTGTTTTTTAATAGTGATGGGGATACCGGTTCCACATGAGTCGCGTTACAGTAGCGACCGTTCCAGAAAAATACCGCGACAAAATAACGCTATTGTGTAATCGAGGTTCCGACTTCCACAGTGTCGCGGTCCTCGCTTATGCAGTATTTCTGGCATTAGTTACCTACTCCCAACCAGTGTTGTCAGGTTCTTAAAATTGTACTAGCTGTTACAACCATTCGTGCCACCTGGTGCCATGAACTTAGGTACAACTGATATTGGAGATGGAGAATTACCCTCTATAAAACCGTCCCAGCTACTGGCTTTTGTCAAAGCCCTGGGACTGTATGATGAGTTCTCAAGAAAGGGGGAGACAATAGATTTGTAAAGCCGCAGTGATTAACCCCCATCCCACTCATTTCTACATTCTACCACCTCAAAATACATTTTGCTGAGATTTATTGACTTTTCCACCACCTTTTTTCACAAACTGCAACTACTCCCAACCTTGCCGTTATCTCTGTGCTCGTGTAAATTCATAAACAATTTTACAGACAAATTTGTAAACAATACAGGATGACAATAGAAGAATTTATGACAGTGGCAATACGTTTGGTTTCAATTTTAGAAATTAAACTATTAAACTCCCTAAACTGACGTTGTTTTTATTATTTAAGCACGAATAGATTGACTTAAAATATGTACATGGCATTTATTGGTATTTAATAATTTTTATTCGTCGTTTAATCAGAGTAAAGAATTTTTATTTTTTCCAACAATAATTTAGATTTATATTCTTTTGATCCACGTTATAACCGCTGCAATTTAAAGAAAAAAAAACACATTTGTAAGATAATTACATTTTTCTATCTTTTGTTCTTAAAATATGTTTGCTTTAAAAACTTAAACAATAAAATAATGACATAATTAGAATCATTATTCCATCATATATAAATACATATGCTAAATTTGTTATCTAGATGTATTTTTTTATGTACATATATTTCTTACTCGTGGGAAAATTTACAAGTAAAATGTTAATTTTCATGTCAGGTAATCATAAAATAAATCTTACGTTATTCCCGTATATGTTAGTAAAATGTAATTCTCTTTGTTAGATTATATTACACTAATTAAGATTTTATTTTTAATCAATTGAGAGTGGCTTTACAAGTTTCAGTTTTTTTTTCAATCATATTTTCTTCTTTATTTATTCATATTTTTGTAAAAACGTTTATTTACCTAACACGTATTTATTATCAATCATATTATACTAAAATACACTACTTAATTTATTTGAATTTAATAGAACGCCTATGGAGAGCCGTGTTTACTTTTTAAAAAATGGCCCTATTGTAAATTTTTTAAAATTTTCGATGCTGAGAAATACAAAAATATATTATATTGCAACATAATATATTTAATGTTAAAATCAAGAACAAAGTTTAAACCACTGTCAAAAAAATTCTTTTTTAATCGTTTCTTTTTTTATCATACGGCACTTCTATTATTCAATAGGTTAGTTTTCGGTATATAGAGCAAAGGATACTTATACAAGTGTACCAAAAATTTTCGCACGATAGTGGAAGTACCGCCATCTTACAAACATTTTAGGCAAACTTTGCATAGTGATTTTATTATTAATTTTTCTAATTTCCAGACTTAGGTATATTAAAATTTGTTCATTAATATTTGAACATAATGTTTAAAAAAGTTATATGGGGTTCGGCAAGAGTGCTTCGGGTATCTGTAGCTTCTGGAATAAAAAAAAACTTGGGAATTTTGTTAGAGTACAAACGTAAAGTATGATTGTACTAGAGTGTAATTGAGGAAAATATTTTAACCTCTATAGGGTGGCCCAAAAAAGTATCAGTGGATCGGGATAATTTTTTTAAATGGAACACCCTGTATATTGTTGCATTTTTGGCTTTCTTTCAGATCACTTTACATAATCCTAAGATATAAGTAAATATATTTCAATAGTGTCAGAGATATTCATAAATAAATAATAATGTATATATTTTTCAGCCTTTCTTAAAAAATCATTACAAATACAAGAACTATCCTCAAATCAAAAGTAAATTAGGTATTTATTTTTTATAATAAAATAAATATTCTTCATTTTTTTAAATATTATTTTTCAATAGATGGAGAACTCAAAAATGAACATTTTTTGTAATTAGAGTATTTCAAAATTTTATCGGTGTCGCAGATATTCGCGGTTTTATATTTCATATTTTTCACAGTAAATTTTTATCAAAGCCACCCAATAATTTTTCTCTCGTATCTTACCGTTTAAAGAGCCATATGAAATAAAACTGCCTGTATCTGCGAACCCATTAAAAATTTTTAAATACTTTAGATACTAAAAATTTTCATTTTTTAACTTCCATCCAATAAAAAAATAATATACAGGGTGTACCATTAAAAAAAAACAAAGAATTATTTTATATTCTAGAAAGTTCGGCGTAGAATTTTGAACACCCTGTATGAATTACGATTACCATATTTATAGCAAAGTAAGTATAGACCATCTAAAGTAAATACCTAATATACTAGTTTTGATTTCAGGATACGTTCTGGTATTTGTAATAATTTTGTTAAAGGTTGAAAAATATATATTTTGTATCTCTGTAATTATCGAAATATATTTATTCATATCTTATGATTATGTAAAGTTATCTGAAAGGATGCCATAAAATCAATAATATGGAGAGTGTTCCACTTAAAAAAAAAATCATCCCGATCCACTCACACTTTTTGAGCCACCCTATAGAAGTCAAAAAAATATTCTCCTGAAATACATCCTCGTACATACTTTAGGTTTGCACTTAAACAAAAGTCTCATGTTTTTTACTCTAGGAGCTACAGATGCCCGACGCACTATTGCCGGACCCTGTATCAATCTTAAATTATTACCATTTAGTTTTAAAGGCTCCTCCTTAATTGGTTTAGGAAGTTCCTCATCACTAGATTCTCCATAATTGCTTTCTTGCTTTGTATCTTCAACTCCAACATTTCTTTTCCGCTTTTGTTTATCTCTAATATTCTTGACTGGACTATTTGATTTAATTGAGTTTGTGATATCTCTATCTCCACTGTGTCTACTGCCATTTTTGGGTGTAGAATTGACTTGACTACTAACCATTTTCTTAATTTGGTTGCTTATCTTTCTTGGAGTTGTTTTATCTTCTTCACTTTCATCATTTGATTCACTATCGCTGTTGTCCATTTTAGGCTTGGGTACCTGTTGATAACTAAGTCTTTTTTCAATCTGTTTATTTGACCTTGTTATATCTTGATCTTCACTTTCATCACTTGATTCACTAGAACTACCCTCCTTTTTTGTTATTTTAGGTTTAGGAACCTTCTGATTATTAAACATTTTCTGGGTATGATCACTTGTTTCACTACCGCTGTTCTCTTTTTTTAATATTATTGGTTTAGGAACCTGTTTGGACTTACCTTTTGTAGGTAATTTATTTTGATCATGTTTTTCCATATTTAAACGTGATTTTGCTTGTAGTAGTTCACTCAATCCATCATTTTCCTCACTAGAGTCATCAGAATCACTCTCCTCTTTCTTCATAGGCTTTGGAACTTTCTGAGTTTTTGTTATTTTGTGTTTGGAAACTTGCTGATTACTGATCCTTTTTTCAATCTGATTGTTTGGCTTTGGTAGATCTTGATCACTTTCTTCACTAGAGTCATCAGAATCACTTTCCTCGTTTGTAATAACTGGTTTAGGCTTTGGAACTTTTTGAATTTTTGTTGTTTTAGGTTTGGAAACTTGCTGATTACTGATTTTTTTCTCAATGTGATTATCTGATAGATCTTCATCACTTGATTCACTATTCCCTTTCTTCAATATTAATGGCTTTGGAACCTGTTTAGACCTATCTTTACCAGGTAATTTATTTTGATCATGTTTTTCCATACTTAAACCTGATTTTCCTTGCAGCACTTCATTCAATCCATCATTTTCTTCAGTAGAATCATCAGAATCACTTTCCTCTTTTGTAATAACCAGTTTGGGCTTTGGAACTTTCTGATTTTCTGTTATTTTAGATTTGGATTCCTGTTGATTACTAATTCTTTTTTCAATCTGATTATTTTTTGACTCTGACAGGTCTTGATCATCACTTTCATCGCTTGATTCACTACCGATATTCTCCTTTTTTAATATTATTGGCTTGGGAACGTTTTTGGACATATCTTTACCAGGTGATTTATTTTTATTTTGTTTTTCCATATTTAAAATTGATTTTTCTTGTAACAGTTCACTTAATCCATCACTTTCTTCAGTAGAATCATCAGAATCACTTTCCTCTTTTGTACTAACCAGTTTGGGCTTTGGAACTATCTGATTTTTTGATATTTTAGGTTTGGAAATCTGCTGATTACTAACCCTTTTCTCAATCTGATTATTTTTTGACTTTGATAGATCTTGATCATCACTTTCATCGCTTGATTCACTACTGGTATTCTCTTTTTTTATTATTAACAGCTTGGGAACCTTTTTGGACTTATCTTTACTATGTGATTTATTTTTATTTTGTTGTTTCATATTTAAATCTGATTTCCCTTGTAGCAGTTTACTCAATCCATCATTTTCTGCACTAGAGTCATCAGAATTAGTCTCCTCTTTTTTAATAGCCAGTTTGGGCTTTGGGACTTTCTGATTTTTTGATATTTTAGGTTTGGAAACCTGCTGATTACTGATCCTGTTGTCAATCAGATCCTGATCATCACTTGATTCATTACTGCTCATCTCCTTTTTTATTATTAATGGCCTGGGAACCTTCTTGGACTTATCTTTACCCTGTAATTTATTTTTATCATATTTTTCCATATTCAAACTTGATTTTCCTTGTAGCAGTTCACTCAATCCGTCATTTTCTTCACTAGAGTCACCAGAATCAGTCTCCTCTTTCTTAATAACAGGTTTAGGTTTTGGTACTTCAACTTTCTTTGTTTTATGCATATTTTTATTTTTCTCAATGTCTCTGGACAATGATTGAGGTGTTACAATGTCTTCACTGGTATCATCGTCACTGCTTCCCCTTTTTCTTTTATTACCAATAACATATTTAAGACCTTTGGCATTATCCTTACTCAGCTCATTAGGACTATCATTTGTACTTACAATTTTAGGGTTTGACACTCCTTGATGTTTACTTTTCTTATCGCCTGACTTTTGGTAAACAAATTCATTAGAGTTCTGAATACTTTTTGATAACTTTTTATTAGTTTCTATATCACTATCCCCACTTGAAGATTCATTGCTGCCACTATTTTCCACTTTGACAATTATCGGTTTTGGTACCATTACTTCAAAATCATCTTCATCATCTGATTCTTCGGTACCTCTATCTCTTTTAAATATAATATTTTCATTTGTTGTATGTATGTTTTTAGAAGCTTTTGTACCTTTAACTTTTTCAAAAGATGTAGATTCTTGTTTTATATTTTTTATTGTTATTTTGTTTTTAGTTGAGCTGTCAGAATCTTCTTGCTTTACATTATTTCTATTCAACTGAAAATCAAATTGACTTGAATTAAAATATATTTAATAAATTGTAATTTCCAATGATCCTTATCAATAACACTTACCTTTAATTGTGGTTTTCTTTTAGCTTTAGACTCCTCTGATTTTATTTGCAGTGGTTTTGAAACAGGAACTTCCTTTTCTGAGTTATAATGAGATAAAGTTGATGATTCTCCATGAGAATTAGTCATTCTAGAAAAGCCACTATCATCTAAATTAACTTCTTGCTTAACAACATTTTCTAATTTAACTTTCTTCAGTTTAGGTTCCTCACTGTTATTTGAATCATTTAAGGATTTTCTCTTTTTCTTTTTTCTTAAAGTTTCACTTTCCTGTTTCACTAATTGCGATATAATACTAGTTGGATCCAAAATATTGTTTGATGGTGTACCCTCTCTAACTTTTTTATTTTCCTTGCGTTTTGTTGATGCAGTTTCCTCAGAACTTTGATCGTCATTTGAATTTACCTCAGTTTTAATACGTGAAAGGATCTCTTGAATTAGCGATTGCTTATTTTTCTTAAATAAAAGATATAATATTTACTTGAGAATTACGACTCGAATTTAAAAGTTTACCTTGCTTTTTGGTGTCTTCATTTCCTTGTCCTTCATAAATAATCAATACAATAATTAGAAGTAGTATAAAGTATAAGAAAATTTCTCTTTAATATAACTAATATGTTTTGCTTTAAAGTAAATAAAAATTAATTGAATGAATATCTTAAAAACTTTTAAAAAACGAGCCAAGCAGCCATTGTCTTGGGTTATGTTATCAAATTCTTCGTTTCTAATTCAGAGGCAATAGCAACCTAGACAATGATTCTAGGGTTGTAACCTATTTTTAATTCTTTACAAACCTAAAAAATAAAAAATTCAATCAATGCCGTTCTTTATTAAGAAACGGCAGTGATTGAATTTGAAAAGGAACAAGAAGTAGAGATAACAAGAATTGAAGGTCGACAAACTGAAGAGAAAGAGGCAGACCGGATAGCTGTAGCAGCTTCGGCCATGAAGTTAATCAAATAAGAGGAAGAGACAATCCGGATAGTTCTACCAGTTTAAGCCCACAAATTAATTAAAAAGAAGAAGAGACAAGTTAAGCGACGTTAAACGATGCGAGTGGCAGGACGGGTGACCGTTTGGAAACTCGGTTCATAGCTATGGTTCATACTCGGTTGTGCTGTTTTCTGTGGTTGTTTTATGGCAAGAGTACGAAATCTATTGGCACTGATTGGAGGAGATAACCAGATAACTACTGAATTATTAGATGAATATATTAAATATTGAAAATTATTTAATTATGTTTAAGTTCTATGTGGCAAAAAATCTGTTTCACAGATTCCCAATATCGATTTTTTTGGCAAATTTTGTTCTTTATAGCAAACATTAGCTGACATTGGTTAATTATTATTGTAGAGACTAGAAACGTGTTTCAGAACATTACAATATACAATATTTTAAGATCAAAATAAATTAAAAAAATAGCGTCACCATATTGTCAAGATTTGTTAATAGTACATAAGTAATTTTTATGTTTTATTTTTACTGTTACCGGTGATGAAAAAACTTTACGGAAATTTCAATATACCGGGTGTTGCCTATCTGATTACAGAGTACATATTACTAGACTCTAGATAATTGGTACCTACATACCAAAGCATATATATATATAGTCTTATATATCTATCACATTTTGTATAATTACAATATGTTATTCAATTCAGTAGATATTAACTTTGTTAATTAGTATGTAATATCTTTTAGATATTTAATATGATTTTATTAGCTTTTGGAAAAAGTGTGGCAAAAATAAAAACACTGGTCCATCAAATAAAGAGGCATATTCTTAAAAATTAAATATGAGCATTAATCAAAATCTTATATGAGACGTTTCTTTTGTATTAATACGTAATTTATATTGCGCCATATTTGTTCCTTATCTTTAGGTCATAGTTTGTATGATATTGTGCTGTGATTCTTGTTTGACCTGAATACTTTTCCAGTGAAACTATTCAACAACAAATACAAGTCTTTATCTATTTTCCACGTAAATAATGCAAAAATAGATTATATTTTCGGTTACAAATAAAAAATAAAGATTTACTTTAGATGGTCTTTTACTTACTTTTCGGTAAACATGGCAATCCTAAATTATACAGGATGTTCAAAATTTTACGCCAAACTGTCTAAAACATAAAATAATTTTTCTACGTTTTTTTAAACGGTACACCCTGTTTATTATTTTCTTATTAGATGGAGAATTAAAAAATAGAAATTTCTTGTATTTAGAGTATTTCAAAATTTTTAACGGTTTCGCAGATATTGCATATGGCATTTTCCATAGTAGATTTTTATCAAAGCCACCCAATGATTTTTCTCTCGTATTTTACCATTCAGAGAGCCATATGAAATAATACTGCTTGTATCTACGAAACCATTAAAAATTTTGAAATACTTTAAATATAAAAAATGTTCATATTTTAATTCTCCATCTAATAAAAAATAATATACAGGGTGTTCCATTAAAAGAAAACAAAGAAAAATTATTTTATATTTTAGAAAGTTTGGCGTAGAATTTTGAACATCCTGTAAGATTTAAAATTGCGATATTAATAGCAAAGTAAGTATAGATCATCTAAAATAAATACCTAATATAGTTTTCATTTCCGGACAGTTTTTGTAATAATTTTTTTAATGAAGTTTGAAAAATATATATTTTTTATTTATGTATTAATATCTCTGAAACTATTGAAATATATTTATTCATATCTGAGGATTATGTAAAGTGATCTGAAAGGAAGCCAAAAATGCAATAATATGAAAGGTGTTCCATTTAAAAAAAAATCATTACGATTCACTCACACTTTTTTGAGCCACCTTATATAGAAGTTAAAATATTTTTCTGAAATACATCCTTGTACATACTTTAGGTTTACACTTAAACAAAATTCCCAAGTTTTTTATTCTAGGAACTACATATGCCCGACACACTATTGCTGGACCCTGTATAATTCTCGTTTTTATAAATTTCTAAACAAACTGTTTTGGGTCAATGGCCAGCAAAATTGACAGTTTTAGACTGACCGCTCAAAATCGCACTTTTTCTACTACCCACACACTTTAATTGTTATTAATGGCTGATATGCCCTAAAATTATACGAGGCAAATATTCATTCGCAAGAAGCTGAAGAGGAGCCCAAAAAAACTTATAAGTTTGCCTTAATAATTAAATTAATTTATTAACAATAGTGGGAAAAGATATCAATCTTTTGGTGGTTTTGATTGTTCCCTACTTCTATATCTCTGGTTATTTCTATTGTTGATTGTTGTGTTGTTGTGGTTTTGAGGAATCCCTACTTCTATACCTCTGGAGGAACCACACAAAAAAAAAATTCTCATACAGAAATGGATCTCAAACACTGGCTGATCCACATTTTGAAGCCGACAAAACTGTATGATGATATACCGATTCTGCACTATATAATTGATTGTGAAAAAGAAAGGAAAATTTTCTTAAATTCTTATCTATAGGAAAATATTGCAAAACCCGGAAAGACATATGGGGGGGGCGCCAGACAGTGTACTCGCCCGGTCTCAATATTTTCCTTCCGCCGGCCCTGGATATAGAGGTATTGTGACTGGAAAAAAAACTTGGATTGGCCTGAATTTTCCATTTTGATTGGTATTATTAATTTCTTTTTTGACAATTTTATTTCATACCACATTTAACTTGTTTATATTGTTATATATTCCTGGGAGGGGTAATTACCCCCATTACCCCTCCAGTATATGCGTATAGATTTAAATCTTTTTGTAACTGACTTGTTACAGCTCTGTACAGGGTGGGTCAAATTCGACGCTTTTAAAGGGAAACACCCTTTTCTATAGGAGATAGACGAAAACTAATATCGGTGTCTGGAGCTCAATTTTTATCAAAAACATGATGGTGAAAACTGCACATCGCTATCTGTTACCGTTTCGGAGTTACGGGGTGTTTTTCGAAAATGTGCATTTTTAAGAAATCGCTGTAACTTTTTTGCTATGGAAAATTTTGTATTTTTATGAAAACATTTCCAATGTATCTTTTTACGTAGAATTTAATGGTTTAAGTATAATTTTTTTAAAATTAATAATTTAAGAGTTATCAACAGAAAAATTGATTTTTTATTTGGGACACCCTGTATATTTTTAATTAAATGAAAAGAACTTAAAATTACCTTTCCAAAAATATAGCACACTTGATATTTTGTTATACTCCTCTTAGAAATACAGAACTTTTTAAAGGTCGCCACTTTTAACTAGTAGGCTTTGGACCCCTTATTGATGATCTGCCCCTAATGGAACTCGAAAACATATTTTTCCAGCAAGATGAGGCATGGCCTCAGAACGCTGAAGTTATCAGCAAATTTTTGCAGCCAATTTCGAGAATAATTGAATAACTAACCAAGATCCCAGCCGTTGGCCATCGAGGCCGCCGAGCTTAGTGCCTATAGATTTTTATCTTTGCGGAAGAATAAAGGTTTTTATTTTAAAATTGCCCGTATAATCTAGACAAGAATTAGAAGTACTTAGCGGTTATGTGAGGGTAACTTTCATCCCCACTGACTTAATGAATTCCGCGAGAAATGTTCCAAAACGGTCCCGTCTATCCATAACAGAAGACGGTCGATATGTTGAACACCTATAGCAAAATCTCATGTCTTGGTTTGCTATTAATTTTTATTGTTATTAGATATAGTTTGAATGTGTTGATGTTGTTAAATATAATTTAAATTGATATAAAATTTTGCATCCCTCATTGTAAATATTATTTTTATTTTAACTGCTACTACAAGGAAGCTTTTTTTTGCATTACAGCCGGCGCAGTTCAAAGCCTTATTCAAAGTGGGCGAATTTTAAAAAACTATATATCTCGAAGGCGACCCAAGCAAAATATCAAGTATGCTATATTTTTGGAAAGGTAATTTTAAATTATTTTCAATGAATTAAAAATATACAGGGTGTCCCATATAAAAATCAATTTTTTTGTTGATAATCTTTTTTTTTGTTAATAATTCTTAAACTATTAATTTTAAAAAAAATATACTTAAACCATTAAATTCTACGTAAAAAGGTGCTTTGAAAAGGTTTTCATAAAAATACAAAATTTTCCATAGCAAAAAAGTTGCAGCCATTTGTTAAAAATGCACATTTTTGAAAAATACCCCGTAACTCCGAAACGGTAACAGATATCGATATGCGGTTTTCACCATCATGTTTTTGATAAAAATTGAGCTTCAGACACCGATATTAGTTTTCGTCTATCTCCTATAGAAAAGGATGTTTCCCTTTAGAAGCGTCTAATTTGACCCATCCTGTACAGGGTGAGCCAAATTGGACGCTTTTAAAGGGAAACGCCCTTTTCTATAGGAGATTCAAATATTGAGCTCCAAACTAATATCGGTGTCTGGAGCTCAATTTTTGTCAAAAACATGATGGTGAAAACCGCATATCGATAACTGTTTCCGTTTCGGAGTTACTGTGTGTTTTTCAAAAATATGCATTTTAAACAAATCGCTGTAACTTTTTTGCTATGGAAAATTTTGTATTTATATGAAAACATTTCCAATGTATCTTTTTACGTAGAATTTAATGATTTAAGTATAATTTTTTTAAAATTAATAATTTAAGAGTTATCAACAGAAAAATTGATTTTTTATTTGGGACACACTGTATATTTTTAATTAAATGTAAAGAACTTAAAATTACCTTTCCAAAAATATAGCACACTTGATATTTTGTGATACACCTCTCAGAAATACAGAACTTTTTAAAGTTCGCCACTTTTAACTAGTAGGCTTTGGACCCCTTATAAATTAATTAATTTAAATTAATAATTTAAGAATCATTGACAGAAAATTTGATTTTTTATATGGGACACCCTGTATATTTTTAATTTATTGAAAAGAATTTAAAATTACCTTTCCAAAAATTTAACACACTTGATATTTTTTTGCTCGATTCCTCTTCGATATATAGAGTATATAAAAATTCGCCCCTTTAAATAAGTAGGCTTTGAACGGCACCGCACCGGCTGTAATGCAAAAAAATTCTAACTGTGAGCATCAATTAAAACGAAAATAATATTTGCTATGAGAGATGCAGAATTTTATAACAATTTAAAATATATTTAACCAACATCAACACATTTAAACTATATCTAATAACAATAAAAATAAATAGCAAACCAAGACATGAGATTTTGCTACAGGTGTTCGACATATCGATCGTCTTCTGTTATGGACAGACGGGGCAGTTTTTGAACATTTCTCGCAGAATTCATTAACTCAGTGGGGGTGAAAGATGCCCTAAGTATTTCTAATTCTTGTCTAGATTATACGGAAGAATAAGGAACCTTTATTCTTCCGCAAATATATCCATAGGATTAGATCCATGGGCACTAAGTCAGGCGGCCTCGACGGCAAACGGCTGAGATCTTGGTTAGCTATTCAGTTATTCTTGAAATTGACGTTCAGAGCGGTGCGTCGTCTTGCTGGAAAAATATGTTTTCGAGTTCCATTAAGGGCATATCATCAACAAGGGGTCCAAAGCCTACTAGTTAAAAGTGGCGAGCTTTTAAAAATTCTGCATTTCGAAGGGGATTATAACAAAATATCAAGCGTGCTAAATTTTTGGAAAGGTAATTTTAAATTCTTTTCAGTTAATTAAAAATATAGAGGGTGTCCCAAATAAAAAATCAATTTTTCTGTTGATAACTCTTAAATTATTTATTAAAAAAAATATACTTAAACCATTACATTCTACATAAAAAGGTGCTTTGGAAATGTTTTCATAGAAATACAAAATTTTCCATAGCAAAAAAGTTACAGGGATTTGTTAAAAATGCACATTTTTAAAAAACACCGGTAACTCGTCCGTCACGTTTATGATGAAAATTGAGCTCCAGACACCGATATTAGTTTTCGTCTATCTCCTATAGAAAAGGGTGTTTCCATTTAAAAGCGTCGAACTTGACCCACCCTGTACAGTATAATTTAAAAAATCGCCCCTGATGACATTTATAATGTATAACATATTTATTATTTTATTTAATAGAATCAGATTAATAACATCATAGAATAAATGAAATTATATTCTTTGGTATCATATCATAGATGTCAAGTGAATAAAACCCTTAATCTTTTGAATATTTATTCCTTCATCTTACTGAATGTGCGTTACCCTTAAACTCACATTCCTATATGTGAGTGTGAGAGCTTCGAAACAATTACAGCTACGTCCTACTTAAAAACTGTGGGGTGCCAAATATCTGTTTAATTTGAGATTAAGCTTCCTATTTTAAATCTACATTATATTAAATTATTTGACTGTTTTCTCACTTGATAACAGAATAAAATCATTTAAATAACACTGTTGCACATGCAATGCATAACGAAACAGCCATTTTTCGTTTTATTACTTATCAATTTTAAGGCGACTGCTGTAATTACTAATTATTTTTATCTCACTCAATATGTATATACCATATTTATATTATTTGTGCTTATATTTACAATTCTCCAATATCCCCATAAAGAGAAATGAACCGATGAGATAAGACTAATTAATATAAACTGGAACAAAAGGAAACATTTGACCAGTCTGTTAAAGTATATCGCTCAGTATGAAATCGTTAGTCTGGATTGTGGCTCTTTTAGCAGGTAAGTTTACATATTTTTATTAAGTTTTCTGTAACCACTGTTCAGGTATTCTTAATTGCTTTTAAGCCTAAAATTAATCTACAGGGTGGTCCGAACTGTATTCCGGAAACTTCGGCAGCGTATTCTGCACATAAAAATAAGTAAAAAATTGGTATAATTTTATGTCTGAAAATACTTAGTTTCAAGGATATCAGGGCGTCGAAGTTTCATTTTCATTTCGATTTTTTCCTAATAATTTCTGAACTAAATTCGGTATTTGGATGAAAATTAGTATCTGGGGGTTTTTTAATATGAGAAATTTAATCTCGATGTCAATGTGACTCCTGTGGGGCGCCACCCACATCTTTTTAACTGTGTTAAAAAGTAATAACTTTTCCTACGTGCCTGTATAAAACTACTGAGTGAAAAAATAAACATATAGGACGTTTTTTTATGTAAAAAAGGTCTCTTGCTAAAAATCGCTATGAGTAATGGTTCTCGAGATATTTGGAATCGAAATTATAAATACCTGTCATCATTGACATAAATTAAACATGTTGACTAAAATAGTTATTAGACTGAAATAAATTTGAAATGTTTTTGTGCCAAAAGTTCAACAGAAACTGCTTTATCATCATTTTTTTGCAGAAAAAAATATGATTAACTATAGAAAATACACATTTCCCAAATTTATTATTTCAGGTCAAATAATTCTCTACTCAACGTATTTATCTTTTGCCAATAATGGCATGTATTGACTATTTCTATTCTAAATATCTTGAAAACGGTTGCTCGTAGCAATTTTTTCCAAGATACATTTTTTACGTAAAAAGTCACTGAAATGTATATTTTTTTTACTTAGAAGTAGGTACGTTTTACTTAGAAAAATAGGGACGAAAAGTTATTACTCCTCAAAACAGTTAAAATATATGTAGGTGACGCCCCCTACAAATAGGAGTCATATTGACATCAAAATCAAATTTCTCATGTCAAAAAACTCCCAGACACCAATTTTCATTCAAATATTGACGTTATTTTAGAAACTATTTGGAAAAAATCGAAATAAAAATGAAATTTCTGCACCCTGTATCTCCAAAATTAGGCACTTTAGGTCATATATTTATACGAACTTTTTTACTTATTTTTATCTGCAGAATATGCTGCCGAAGTTTCCGGAATACAGTTCGTATTCCGTGTTATATTATATATAACACCCTGTATTTTACTTCTGGGATGTTTATTATACACGGAACTCTATGTACACGGTTCGAAATGTAATCGGGAAACTTGGGCAATATATATTTTGCAGATAAAGATAAGTAAAATAGTTCACATAAATTTATGTCATAGAATGCTTCATTTTGAGGATACAGGGTGTAGAAGTTTCATTTTTATTTCGTTTTTTCCAAATAATTTTTAAATTATCGTTGATGTTACGATTAAAATTAGTGTCTGGGTGTACCTATGCTGAGTACCTAAAAAGTATCTACAGAAGAAGGTACTTTTTTAGGTACTTTCTAGGGAAAGCCCCCTATATATGTTTTTTAACTGTTTTGAAGAGTAATAACTTTTCGTCTGTATCTATATTACATTGCTGAAAGGAAATATATATTATACATTTCTGCTGCTTTTATTTAACCTAGATAGTTATTTAACTGCAATGATAAATTTGGAAGCATTTAATTTTTTTTTTAATTAATCATAAACTAGGTTTTTCCCGCGACTACGTTCGCGTTAAGCTTGATTTTCATGCATCTGTTATCCGACGATACGATAATACGATATTAATTTTATTGGTTGAATTTAAAGACTTTGATTGGTTAGAAACGGTTAACCAATCGAAGCCTTTAAATATAACCAATGAAATTAATATCGTATCAACGTATCGTCGGACAACGGATGCATGAAAATCAAGCTTTACACCTCGAATCGTTTATTGATTTAAATGATTGTTTAACTCTTTATAGATAGAGCTAGTGAGCCTTACAAATGCACTATTTAAACTATGTTTTCAGAGTTTTAGAGCTACTCGTATTTTATATGAAAGTTAGCAATTGTCGATTTTCTGGGTATTATACAGGGCGAGTCTAAAATAAGTGAGTGCAAATATTTTCAGGGTTGGTAGATCTCGAAAATAGAAACATATTTTCTCTTTCCCGTTTTTTTTTAAATAACTCCAAAATAACGGAGTTAAGTTAATTTTCAAAAAAGAAAATTTTTTGCTTAAATTTTGAGAACCACTGGAGCTTTTCGGGGTTTTCTGTCTGGTAAATTTAGTAAATTTATTCTACTACCTATGGTTGTCATATTATCAAGGAATTATGGTTTTTAACTAAAAACTAAATAAAAGTTTTTCAAAAAATTCCAAATTTTCCAAAAAGGTTTTCGCAAAAAAACTCATAATCGTGTTTCTAGGGTCAAAATATACTACCGCTAAAAATAATTGCACTTATTTAAGACTCGCCCTGTATATCCTTTTAAAAAATCAATTTTATTATTTTTGACTAAAACCAAAGTCGAAATTTTGCAAAATCTGAAAAAAAGAAAATCTCTCGAAAAACATAAATAGTGAAATGATTATGTACCCTCTATAGATAGAACCCCTACCTATGATGCCATATAAACGGTATTAGGTACTAAATAAATAGCTATGACATATAAAGTTTTCAATTGAATATTTAAAGTTTTCAATTGTCGCTTTTCTTGATATACTCCCCTGATTTTTTTTATTTTTCAATAGCGCTAATACACTCTTTATACCTTATTTTTTATTCCTATTCATATTATTGATGTCACTAAATAAACCCTTGTATAAAATTTTATACTTCTAGATGATATAGTAATGCATTTTCGTACAGCCAAACTTTCATTCCCTTTTCTACTCCCTAAGGGAATGCTTTGTCGAAATAATTAACTCGTGTCTTTTAAATGATCCTTTGTGCAAATCAAATTTTTATGCGTATAATCCAGAGGTCACGAAGGTTTATATTTATATACATTTTTACTAACTTTACCTATTTGGTTGATGAATTTCAAAAATCTCTTATAATTCTTTCTGTAGAATTTCATTCTTCTAGACCAGATAAGTAAGGAATTTTCATATAACAAAATGTTCAACACACTAAGAGGATGAATTTCCTAAAATCGCTTTACGTAGCTAATTCACTAATCACTAATGTCATTTAAACGAACATTTGTGGTAATATTTATGAATCTAAAGCTGGCGGTATGAACTGACCCCTAAAATATCTAAAAACTTTTTATATATAATCTAACTGACATTTATTCGTTTTACATAAAGAAATAGCGATTAAACGATATAAAAATACTTCATAACAAATCTAGACATACCTTTCATTAAAAAAAGGATCATCAAGATTGGTGAAGCGGTTTCGGCGGGATGGATGTAACAAAAAAACCCTTTGAGCTTTTATATATGTATGGATTTTTAATAAAACAGTTTCTGTGTTGAACCTTTATTGGCACAAACATATCTTCAAATTTATTATTTTAGTTTAATAACTATCTAATCAGTCACAGCATCATAATTATAAAAGAATAATCTACCAGCAAAATAAAACACTAAATCACCACAATAAACCAAAACACTTGATGCAAAGTAAAGTGTTTTGGTTGATTGTGGTGATTTAGTGTTTTATGTTGCTGTTGTAACATCAATAAAGGTTCTAACCCCTAACCGTAATAATCTACCATTTCGATTATTAAGTAAATCTAAACAGTGCCCTAAAGTTTTTTAATTAGTAGATAATATGATATCGTATAATTGTCAAGTCATTATAATTATTGTAGAAATAAAGATGACTAATATTGATACTAACAGTTCAATTTATAACAAAATTGTTGAATAGGTCCCTAAAGAGAAACCAAATAAAATAAACTGCGTTGGTTTTACATGAGATTTTACAACTTTTTATAGTGGAAGAATTGTGTTGGGAGACTAGGCATTTTTTACATTCTACTTATAGATTATTCTTTTAAAATTATGGTGCGAATTTATGTTTTTGAAGGGATATGTTTTTTTGCCAATGACTACATATATCGATTATTTCGATTCGAAATATCTTGAGAACGGATATTAGTAGCAATTTTTACCAAGAGACTTTTTTTTGCCTAAAATCGGCGGAAATATACATTTTTTCTCTCGGTAGTGTAATACAGGTACAGATGAAAAGTTATTACTCTTTAAAACAGTAAAAAAACTTGTAGCTGGTGATTATTATGAGTAGGAGTCATACTAACATTTGATTCGAATTTCTCACGTGTAAAAAATACCCAGACATCACTTTTCATCCAAATATCGACGTTACTTCAGAAATTATTTGGAAAAACTTAAATAAGAAGGAAACTTCTACACCCTGTATCTCTAAAAAGAAGCATTTTAGGACTTAAATTTATACGAACTTTTTAATTTATTTTTATCTGCAGAATATGTTGCCCCAGTTTCCGGATTATCTTTCGGACAACCCTGTATAAACACAATATTTTTTCATCGAAAGGCATTAATGTATCACGTTAATTTATCATGATCTAAAGGTCACAGTCTGAATGGTTATAAGTCATAACAGTATCATTTTGAGTGAAGAATTCTTAATAAATATGTTGATGTTTATAAACTTTAATGTTAAAAGGACTAAAACAAAATTTTTGCGGAGAAATATATTTGATATTCTATAACGTATATAAATATACAGAGTATTTTAGAATATCTGAGTGGTGTACAGAATACCGGGTGCGTCTCAAAAGTTGCCCACCCTATAACTTTTTTATTTTTTAGATAAAAATCGAGATTTGGTATATTAGTATATGACATAAATTAGTATTGATTGACATATTCAATAGCTTTCGGTGACTTCCTGTTTTACCGGAATTGACTACAACTTTTGATTTTTAAATGGCACACTCAGCATTTTGTTACTTTATTCGATAGAAAATTACATCCTCAATAGAACGACAACATTTACATTTGACATTTTCGAATATGGTTTATTTCAAATTGCAACACGCGATTCATAACGACAATTTGACTCGAAATACTTAGTGTGTGGTACCAAATTATTCGTAAAAATTCCTTTTCCGAATATGCTAATGAGTCACCCTCGTTCCATTTGAAAAAAATGCGATATGATTAAAAATAGGATTGATAGATCATAGTTGAAAATCGTTTAACCGGCCAGGATAAGACACTAAAAATATTAGACGATCAAATCTATTTTCCCAAGGATCCTTGATTAAAAATTAGTGTTTTTAACAGAGCCCTGGAGCTACAGATTGAATTCTAGATTGAAGTTTAAAATACAATTATTTTGTTTTAAGCGAAAATGTCAAAAGTTGACGTATGATATGTCATTCTATTCAGAGTGTCATTTTCTATGGAATAAAGTAAAAAAATACCGAGGGTGTCATTTAAAAATCAAAAGTTGCAGTCATTTCCGGTGCAAGAGGAAGTGGCCGAAAAGAATCGAATACGTCAATTAATCCTAATTAATGTCATATATTAAACATAAATCTCGTTTTTTTATCTGAAAAAATAAAAGAGTTATAGGGGTGAGCCACTTTTAAGACGCACCCGGTATATTAATAATTTGTATCATCTTGTCACAAACTTGTAACGGACAAAAGTATTTCAAAAGTTGATATACATAGTTTTAAATAAACATTTTGACTTTTAAAAAATCGCAAATCAAAAAGTTGATATAAAGTTCTTTTTGGAAAGCTGGGACCTCAGCCTGTCGGTATACTGGGTGCGTCTCAAAAGTGTTTCACCCCTATAACTTTTTTATTTTTCCATATAAAAAATCGAGATTTGGTATGTTAGTATATAACATAAATTAGGATTGATTGACCTATTCAATTGTTTTAGTCACTCGTCATTCTATTCAGAATGTAATTTTTTATAAAAAATACCGAGGGTGCCATTTAAAAATCAAAAGTTGTAGTCATTTCCGGTGGGTGGAAGTGACCGAAAACAATTGAATACGTCAATCAATCCTAATTTATGTCATATACTAACATACCAAATTTCGTTTTTTTAACTGAAAAAATAAAAAAGTTATAGGGAGAGACACTTTTGAGACGCACCCGGTAGGGTGGTGACAATTTGCATTGACATTGACATCTCAGAAATTACGAGAGATATGAATTCGGTTAAATGGGACAAAAGTTGCGTAATTAGAAGTTCGACAAACACTGGCTGACATATAAAAATGTGTCAAATGGATTTCCAAGGCATACTTGATCTTAGGCGAATTTTTAAAAAAATTATTTTTTAATGAATTTACACAATAATTAATAAAAATTAGATACATCCGTATAAACTTTTTTTCGCTCTATCTAATAGTTTAAAAATTCAAAATGGCGGCTATAAGAAAACAAAAACTTGACTGTTGTTGTGCGAAATCTAGAAGGCTTAGAAATTTTCTGAAAGCGACATTTAATTGGTCGAGGTCAAAAACAATATGAAACTACCAACTTACGTTGCAATAGGCACAATAGTTCTGAAGTCATTGTCATTTAAAATAAACGTACTATTTTCATGTTTTTGACATAAATCCGAAACTAATCAAGATACCGGGGTTTTCTTCATAGGTGTTTGTCAAACTTCTTATTACGCAACTTTGGTCCCATCTAACCGAATTCGTATCTCTCGTAGATTCTGAGATGCCAATGTTGAGCATCGAAATTGTCACCACCCTGTATATGAAAATCTTCTATATAGCTATACTTCTTTGGCTGACTATCGAACTGTTCTATATTACTGACTAATTTCCATATCATGTAACATATCATGTAAGATTTTTCCAAAAAATGTAGTTTAATATCATATTTTCTTGGCAAAAGATCCTTATATAGTTGCCGGTTTCATTATTCTTACGTTAAGTAATTTAAGGCTCCATATTTGATTGAAGATTATATTTTAGTTAACGAATTTAACAAGATTAAATTATAGTATTCAACGAGCATATAATGGTGGCTGTTATTCACGCGGATGAAGTTTATGTTACATAAATCATCCAAGTGAATAACAGCTATTATATGCGAGTAGAATACTATACTTTATCCAGGACTATCAAAAAAATTTAGATAATATTAATATAAGTTTTTATCCACGACTCACTTGATTATTATACATGAGTTTATAAAATAATAATAATATTCATTATTCACTAGTGAATAATGGGTTTCATTATTCACCACTTCCACGGATATCTCGATCCAAACTCTAAACAAGAGTTGTGCTCGATCCAAACCGGCTTGGAATGCGATTGTATGTTAAAGCTAAATTAGTTAGCTACTTAGTTAAAGAAAATTTCACTATTTTGTTTCTATGTTACTTACTTGTTATACTCGTTCAATATTTTTTTAACATTAAAAATAAAAACTTATATTAATGTTATCTACATTTTTTTGATAGTCCTGGATAAAGTATAGTATTCTACTCGCATATAATGGCTGTTATTCACTTGGATGATTAACATAAACTTCATCCGCGTGAATAGCAGCCACCATTATATGCTCGTTGAATAATATACTATTATCCACGACACAATAAATGGCAAATGTCAAGACATGACAAATATAAATGATACATGTACAAGCCGGTTTGGATCGAGCACAGCTCTTGTTTGGAGTTTGGATCGAGATATCCGTGGAAGTGATGAATAATGAAACCATTTTTCACTAGAGAATAATGAATATTATTATTATTTCATAAACTCATGTATAATAATAAAATTATAGACGAGTCGTGGATAAAATATTATGCATTTGTTTCAGCCGTGCATTATGGCTCCTGCATGGATAGCCGAGAAGCGTTCTTGGAACAATTGCGTAGCGTCAGGGCGCAAATGAGTACCGAAGCTATGTACAAAAGAAGACTTATGACTCTAGTGGAAAGCATTTGTCCAGGATATGCCGAACCCGTTGAGGTAATGTCATCGATTAAAAAATAAGAGTTTTTTTTAAAGAAAAAAGCTCAGAATCGGATTTGTTTTTGAAGTGAAACTTCTTTACGCGCTCTGGGACTAAAAATTCAAGGCCGAGACACGACACGAAACGAATGACAAAATGGCAAAACGGCATGGATTAGAAAAAAGTTGAAATCCCATAAAAAATATAGAATGTAAGAAAATGCCAAGTCTCGTAACACAATTCTTCCACTATAAAAAGTTGTGAGATCTCATGTAAAACCAAGTCAGTTTACTTTATTTAGTCTCTCATTAAGCACCTATTCAACAATTTTGTTATAAATTGTTAGCATCAATATTATATTCATCTTTATTTCTGTAATAATTATAATGACTTGGCAATTACACAGCACAATAATTATAAAAGAATAATCTACAATCTCGTTTAATACATAAATCTAAACAGTGTCTTTAAAAATATAGTTTTTACTTAAAATAGAATATCATATCGTGCAATGTCCAATTGCCAAGTCATTATAATTACAGTTGACTCTCGATAATTTTCTGTGATTTTTCTAAGGCGTTCGATTGTGTAAATCATAAGATCCTAATTAATAAACTGCAGCACTATGGGTTCAGGGGAACATCTCTCGAATGGTTTAAGTCGTATCTGAGCAACAGAAGTCAACTTGTGAGGGTGGATACCACCCCATACAGCACGTCCAAATAAAATTACGTTTCTACAAGGGAGACACATGAGAAACCAAATATGTTAAAGTGAACCTAAGTGTTCATCTAGTTCTAACATATACATATGAGATACACGCAGGTTTATATCGATAGAATTGTGTGATACAGTGTTTACTAGTTGTATACTGTATGCACTCAAGATTCTAAAGAGTTTTTTCTAACGTAACAAATAATTATTAAAATGATGAAATCTGACGCCGGTATATAAGACATACAATGTATATGTCATATGTATGTGTGATACTTCGTATCATAGTTGTGCCTATAGTACACACCTTGTAAAAATGTGACGTATACACATAATATAAATTTCTATATAGACACTTTGTAATAGTGTACTGTTGTGTCTACATTCTAGCATGAAATGAAGGTGTGCGCACGCGCGGACAGCCTTAGCGAGATACACCGACTAAGTGTATCTTATGTGTCTCTCTCCTTTCTCCTTTCTAGGAGTGGTATGTGTTAGCAGCCATTATTGTTTTATCATTCGGAAGCTCTATATAAATGTTCTGTTTGTGTGTAGTTTAAAACAGATTTTAAGGTAAGCACAAGTTTTTAATTACCTTCTTACACCTTTCTAAGAGTATTATTAATATTGTAGCAGCGACTCTTCCCTTATCGTTACCCAATTTACCAAACTTTGACTCCATTGAATGAAAACTCCAAATATTCTCGTATAATGATAAAGAGGTTAGCTCTGCAATATATTTTTTTTTAAATTTGGAAATAATAAAAATTTAAATGGATCAGAGAAAGAAAGATTTAAACACTTCTTACACTGATATTCGGTAAGTTATTGATGGATCAATATACAGGTATGTTTAATATTCAATAATCAGTTTCATATAAAATTTAAGGGTGAGATTGTCAATCTGATATTGTTAATTTCGATGAATGAGTATGCTGATGGTTGCTAATGGTTGCTAACAAACCATCTGGTTGGAGGGAAAAGAAGAGAAAAAAAATGACTAAACGAATCACCAAATCGTGGCGATATACCAGTGTTTACCATTTTAGTATGTTGTTATACTGGGTACTTAGATTTTTAATACATTTTGATACAAATTCTGTTCTTTTACAGTGTTTTCTTACTTCTGGTTTCTGCAGTGTAAATAATTATTATTATTGTGTTATTTGCGCTATTGCGTTCCATGATATAAAGAAATATAAGAATTTTATTTTTAACCACTTAATCCATTTTATGGAAAAAAAATGGTACATTTAATACAAAACAAAAATGGAACATTTGAAGGCTACTTCTTTTGAACTTACGATCGAGATACTTTTGGAAAATACAAAGTTTTGCCTTCCTAATTTTCGTTCTAAAAAGATATAATTGGTATTATTGAATAAATATTTCTTAAAAAGAACGAAAAGTTAGGCATCAAAACTTGTATTATTTCCTAAATTCGTTCATAAGAAGTAGTTTTATCTAGCACAAAATGTATGTACGAAGTAAAATGCATACGTATACACGCAGTAGTCACAACTGCAATGTGTAAACAGAGTTTAAACGTAATACACAAGCACTGTCTATCCTACGGCACACTGTGTATCCCTTACTTTGTGTATACGTAAATGCTATACTGTGGCTACATTGTGAGGCGGACATTTAACCTTTGTGCATACGTGTTGAACTACAATGTGTAAACGTATCATATTTACATCGGGGGAATTGTGTCACCCTGTGTCTACATCTAATAATGTAAACACATCGTAAATGTGATTTGATGTGCTGTATGGGACGTTGTCTTCTAGCAAGCCAATAGAATGTCGAGTACCACAAGGCTCAGTACTAGGCCCTATTTTGTTTCTTCTTTTTATTAACGACATTGCTAACATAAACATCAGTGGCAAAATATGTCTTTTTGCTGACGACACTAGCTTCACTTGGAGCAACAAGGATGGCACTACGTAGCATTATATCAAATGACTTAATCGCCATTAAATCTTGGTGCGATTCGAACCTCCTGAGTCTCAACATTTCTAAAACTAAAGCTTTGTCATATGAAAACTCGCTGCAGCCTTTTGTACTTAACAACACCACCACTGACGTCGTAAAATCTGTAAAATTCTTAGGGCTTGTTGTAGACAATTCTCTGAAATGGGACATACATATCGAAGCTTTGTCGAAAAAATTGAGCTCTACCTGTTTTGCATTAAGATCTGTTTCTAAGGAGCTTAACTTGTCAGTGGCTAGAACTGTTTATTATGCACTTTTTGAGTCGCACCTCAGGTATGCCCTTCCATTCTGGGGTACGTGTTGTGCGACTCAATTTGACCGCATTTTCAAGCTCCAGAAGAGAGCTGTTCGATATTCACTGGGACTAAACAGCAGAACTCATTGCCAGGATTTTTTAAAAAAATTAAAAATATTGACTCTTCCTTCCTTATTTATATTTGAATCCGTTTGCCTAATACGTAAGCATGTATCAGCTTCTCTAGAAAGGTCATCTCACACTTATCCACACAGGAACGCGGAGCAAGATCTTTATCTACCTACCCCTCGCTCAGAGTTAGTTAAAAGTTCAATATTATACAACTCGAAAAAAATGCACAATCATCTGCCATTTGAAATCAAATCCATAACATCGTTTTCTTCATTTCGTAAAGCATTGAACTCTTATTTACTAGACAAGGCTTTCTACGCCGTAAATGAATTATATTTTGAAAATCGAATTTGATATTGTAAACACTGGTCTAATGTTTGCTATTGCTATATTTACTAATGATATCGAAATAAATTTATTTAGAGGTCATTGATATTTACTATAAACTAACTAAATATTTTTGAATATTATTTTTATTTTTTTGGTTTTTTGACATTGTAAACATTTATAAATGTTTATTTTAAACAATAACACTGACAATATTATTTTTATAATGTTTTGTATTATCTTTTGTTTGTTTGTTTGTGTACCTTGTTTGTTTACTTTGTTTGTTTAGTTTACCTTTGTCTACAAATTGAAAAAAATTTTGACAATAAATGCATTTATTTATAATATGAAACTTAAGGGACCAGGAAAAAAATTCAATATAAAGAGACTTCAAAATAATAGAAGTTCAAATAATCAAGAGGAGATAGGGATAAATTCAAATAAATAAGAGTTTGTTAAACGGGGACTCACGGACTTCAAAATATGGGATTTCTTACTTCAAATTATAAAATGTCGGGTTCAAATTATAGAGAGTAAGGAAGCTCTCACTTCAAATTATAGAATGTCGGCGAGCAAGAATTCATTCAAATTATCAAGGAGAAATTATTAGTAGTGGGAACTATCGAATGAATACTATCGAAACATTCGATAGTTGCAATTCATTCGAATAATTCGATAGCTAGTAAAAAAACATTCGTTGAAAACTATTCGAATAAAAATTATCGAATAGATGAATCATCTAGTTTCAAAAGCGGCCATCTCCTTCCAAGCAAATTTCGCAGGAGAGAGGAAAAACTGTTGTGGGAAATCTAGTGGGCCCATCAGTAGTTAAGTTTGTTAAAATAGTTTGTTAGGTGAATTTAACAAATTGTTTCAACAAATAAACAACTGGTTTTGTGTTTTAATAAAGAAAAAATAAATTAAATAGTGGATATGGCCGAATTTGAAACTAACCCAAGGAGATGGCCGGTTTTGAAACTAGACGTTTCAGATGCGTCATTTGCCTTGAAATATTGTATTCTAGTAATTCGGCAGCAAAACCATTCATTTATAAAATTCATTCATTTATGAAATTCATTTATTCGTCAGGATCGATTATAATAAAATATTAACTGGATTTTAGTTGTCGCCCGGCGATGTAGGTTTTTTTCCGAGAAACCCGACAGCGGTCGGTGGCAATGCTATGAAAGAAGCCGGCATTTTTGATTTTTTGCGGAGTCATATAAAGATAAGGACACATTATTTTTTTTATTGAGGTGCTAGTATTTACACAGAAAATACATTACGAAGGGCGCTGTTGCCATATATTGGTATTAGTTGATATTAGCAAAGAATACTATTGTTTGGATTTAGTTAGTTAGGGATAGTATGTCTATATATTTTGCATTTTTTTTATTAATATTCTGTTGTTACACTGCAATAATACTTGTTATTTTGGATGTAGGAAAATGATTTTTAATGTTTTTAAGCAAAGACTGGTTTAATAAAAATAATAATAACAGTAATAATTTGTTATACCTATTAACAACAAAATTTAAAATAATTTAATATAAACATTTTTTTTTGCGTAGTAGAAAAGTATAAATAACAAATTAGATGTCAAAATTATTTATATTAGATCCTATTTAAAAATAATATAGTCTTTAATTTTTTTGTGGCAACGTTGGTTTATTAAATAATAATAATTACAGAACTAATTTGTTATATTAACAACAAACTTTAAAATTATGATATATAAAAATTTATTAATTTTCTAAGCATGCAGTGAAGAAAAATATAAATAAAAATTAGAAATCAAAATTATTTATATTAGGTACTTTATATTACTATTTAAAAATAATATTTACTTTTACTGGCATTTACTTTAAAAAATAAATTAAATATTTCTTCGCAAAAAACTACATGTAAGAGCATAAACAAAATACAAACATCGTTAACTTTTTTTTTAAATTGGCACGTGTAAAACTTTCAATTTAATTTTCTCACCCCATAGTTTGAGTTCGATAACCCCATTTACTTAACCACATTGCTTAAATATGATTATTAAGTTCAACTAATTCATATTATTAAAACATCTAACATACAAATATGTATTTTTAAAATTAATTCTAAGTTCATCTCATCTCTCTTAAAAATTGCTACTTCTCAAAATTTCCCATTAAAAAATAGACCATATATACCATATAAAATAAAATAATTGAGAGATCGGGCTAGGGAAAGTCACACAAATTTTCGGAAAAATTTTGACACCTGCACACGCACACAATCATCAATTAAATAAAACTACTATTTTAGTATTTTAAATATTTTAATAAACGCTACTAATAATGCACTGACGCACACAGAAATCAAACGAATACTAAATTTTATTTATCAAAAGCATTCGATAGTCGTGGCTCAACGATAACCATTTAGTCGCACGGCGAGGTTGTCACATATGCTTTAGTATACAAATGAATGAATTATTTTATTCGAATAAAACCATTCGATAGTTGAAATCATTCATTCAGTAACCATTCGATTGTCTAATTCATTCGATAGTTCCCATCGCTAGAAATTATATTAATTATTTTCAATTTATCGAGTATTCGAGTAAGACTTCAATATATCGAGATATTCAAATTAACGAGTGTCAAATTATGGAGTGTCGACTGTATCACAGAAATAAAGATGACTAATATTGAGACTAACAATTTATAACAAAGTTGAATAGGTGAAATTTTTTCTCGGATAATAGGTATATCATTCAAAATAATATTTATTAAAGAACTTTGACTAGGCAATAATACATAAACTTTGAATTATCGTATAAAGTCAGATAATATCAAATGGATTAATTCTAGTTTTCTAACGACTTGAAACCCCATCATCAATGAAAAAATCGTCCGATTTAAATGAAATTTGGTTTTTCGATAGATTGGACCAAGGTCAACTTGACCGTGTATGAATGTGACAGTTAGTTTTGGCGTAAGAAACGTCAAAAGTTGATGTCGTCCGATCGCGACCAAATTTAGTGGGTAGGCTATGTGAGCGACTACGTTTCGTTTACATCTTCATCAGGGTGGGACTAAGGATTTGATAAATAAATAAAATAAATAAATGCCTTTATTGTCAAAAATTTTTACATTTTCTAGGCAAAGGTAAAGTAAACAAACAAAAGAGAATACAAAACAAGTATACAAATTACATTGTCAGTCTTATTGTTTAAAATAAACATTTAAAAATGTTTACAATGTCAAAGAATAAAATAATAAAAAAGGGATTCAAAACTATTTAATAAGTTTATAGTAAATATAGTAATAGCAAATATATAATAGACCAGTATTTACAAGATCAAATTCGGTTATCAATGATGTTATGGATTTGATTTCAAATGGTAGGTGATTGTGCATTTTTTTCGAGTTGTATAATCTTGCTCCGCGTTCCTGAGTGGATAAGTGTGAGATGGCCTTTCTTGAGAAGCTGATACATGCTTATGTATTAGGCAAACGGATTCAAATATAAATAAGGAAGGAAGAGTTAATATTTTAAATTTTTAAAAAAGTCCTGGCAACGAGTTCTGCTGTTTAGTCCCAGTGAAAAACTTTTTTTTCGAGTTGTATAATATTGAACTTTTAACTAACTCTGAGCGAGGGGTAGGTAGATAAAGATCTTGCTCCGCGTTCCTGAGTGGATAAGTGTGAGATGGCCTTTCTTGACAAACTGATACATGCTTACGTATTAGGCAAACGGATTCAAATATAAATAAGGAAGGAAGAGTCAATATTTTTAATTTTTTTAAAAAATCCTGGCAATGAGTTCTGCTGTTTAGTCCCAGTGAATATCGAACAGCTCTCTTCTGGAGCTTGAAAATACGGCCAAATTGAGTCGCACAACACGTATCCCAGAATGGAAGGGCATATCTGAGGTGCGACTTAAAAAGTGCATAATAAACAGTTCTAGCTACTGACAAGTTAAGCTCATTAGAAACAGATCTTAATGCAAAACAGGCCGAGCTTAATTTTTTCGACAAAGTGTCGATATGCATGTCCCATTTTAGAGAATTGTCTACAAGCCCTAAGAATTTTACAGTTTTTAAGACGTCAATGGTGGTATTGTTAAGTACAAAAGGCTGCAGCGAGTTTTTATGCGACAAAGCTTTAGTTTTAGAAATGTTGAGACTCAGGAGGTTCGAATCGCACCAATATTTATTGGTTAATAAGTAATTTGATATAATCCTATGAAGTGCCGTGACGTCTTTGTTACTCCAAGTGAAGCTAGTGTCGTCCGCAAAAAGACATATTTTACCACTGATCTTTATGTTAGCAATGTCGTTAATAAAAATAAGAAACAAAATAGGGCCTAGTACTATATTGAAGAAAAATGAAAAAAATATTGAAGAAAAATGTAAAATGTACTATATTGAAGAAAAATGTGGATCGGTTTCGGCATAATTGGGGAAGGGCTACAGGATAACGCTCTCGACGTTTCGAACCGATGTAAAAAAAATTATGGAAATTATGGCTCGGTTGGAATCAAACTCGGCACGTGGATAGAGGTAACCGAATGGAGTTCTCAGACTGAGAGACGGGCAGACAGACAGACTGACAGGCGGACAGACGGATGTAAGAAGAAGTTTCACTTTAAATATGCGCACATAGTGCACACACCATTTTTTTAAGTATATTTTTTACTCTTCTCCTTTGCGAGGTGGCAACAAATATTGACAGTTATCATTTTTAATTTTCAAAGTTAAACAACTCTACCTTTTTCAATTTATTTTAAAAATGGTAAACAGGGAACATTTTTTTTTGTCCAGGCTTTTTATTTAAAAAAACACCTTGTATAGTTCAATTTTGGAGTAAAAAATCTGATTTGCGATTCTCATTTTATTGAAATTTACAGAACGCAACCTTGAAAGCTATTAGTTGTTTTGAATTACTGGACGAGGAGTCTGAAACAGCATGCTCTTTGGTCAAAAACAGCTTTAAAACATGCATTTCGCCCATAGTCAATGTATTTGAAGAATGCTTACCAGCTACAGGAAAGCAGTTACCCAATTTCGCTGTAGATGCAGTTTTGGCAGTTAGCGAACATATCTGTCGCATAGATGGCGAGCATATTATTGGTAAGTCCTTGTGCAGAGAAATTTCATATTATACCTATTACCATAGTATAAATAAACGAGTAGAGCCACTTCTCGTTAAATTCTTTGATCTATTTCTGCTACCATGTTGGGGCACCCTCGGGCTCACCTGTAGTTACGCCAATGAGAGGCTCACCCCTATAACTTTTAATTTTTTAGATAAAAAACCACATTGAGTGATGACATAAATCATGATTGACTGACGTATTCACTAATCGAGTTATTTTATTAAAAAAAAACGGTATGTGTTAATACAAAACAAACAAGAACAAAACACCACATACCAAAAAATATATGTATATAAAAGAACTATTTCTTACTTTCCAGTTTTAAGAAACGTCCCTCATTGATTATTATATTTATCAATATAACTCAACTTTGTATAACTAGAAATTTGTAATATTCCACAGGAATAAATAAAACAAACTATTTTATTAGTAATAACACTTACCGAATTTTATACCTTAGGTTGATTAATTAACTTTAATATTATTTTTTTTAAACCAGTACCTTTTGACATTATTTTTCTGCAGTACCAACATCCATTATTTTGAAATAATATTGTTTTTAATTGAAAATCTCAAATGTGGATATATGATTTGTCATTCTATTCAGAATGTAATTTATATCATCAAACAAAGTAAAAAAAATGCCTAGTTTTAGTCATATCCGGTGAAACAGGAAGTCCCGATCCCAATTTATGTCAAATACGAACATACCAAATCTCGTTTTTTTATATCACAAAATAAAAAAGTTATGAGGGTGAGACACTTTTGGTATACGTCCAAGGAACTTGTTACGATCCGAAATTATAATTTTTCTGAAAATTTAGAATAGAGAGCAGCAACTACTCGAAAAAAAAATCTCTGTCAATTAAATAAGTCTAATTGCCTAATTGCCTGTAGGAAAAAAGACTTAAAATATCAATTATATTTGGGTAAATAAATATGTAAAGTTTCGTTAAAATACCTTTCCTAATAATTGATAATAGTATGTTGTTTAAATTCTTTATTGTTATTATTTTACAGAGTTAAGCAACAAATGTTTTAGAAATGTGAACTACCGCACTCAAAAGTGCATTAAACGCAACCAAGCCAAAGTACAGCAATATTTGAGAGATAAGAAATTTCCTTCTGTTCAAGAAACTTGCGAGTAAGTAGAAATATTAATTACACTGATCTGCAAACAAATTCTGGCACCATTCTTGCTGATTCTTATATCAAACCACCTCCTGAATCCAAATATATCTCTGGTTTTCCTCTACCACCCTCCACTTCAGAGGAGCCCTCCTAAGACGAAGAAATTTTACAGCCTGTATTGTCTGATGCTATATATATGTTCATAGAAAATTTCTGTTTTATTTTTATCGGTAGAATTACCCACTGAAGTTAGATACACTATTTTTTTGACACCTTGTATACAGGGTGGCACCTTTTTTTGACACCTTGTATACTCACCTCATTCGCCTCGGTTCATTATATGAAAACTGAAAGATGTAGAAACAAACTAATTTATGTGTATATGTGGGAAGACAATGTGCATAATTTAAATTTATTTTGAAATGTACAGGATATGTCGGAACTAAGATCCACACCAAAGTTATATTTTTTCTTACGGAACACCCAGTATTTTATGTCATATTTGGATCCTTGGACACAAAATAAGGCATTTATTATAAGGGTTAAATATGTTTACAAGCTTTAGTTTTTGAGATATTTAAAAATATTTAAATATGCATGCTACAATAGAATAGATTATTAACACCCTGTAGATTACTTTTCAGAATTAATTCTTGTGCTGAGTTTAAAGGTAGAGAAATAAACTTTACTGAAAAATGTTAATACTTCCTTAAATTTATAAAGGGGTACCAAAAATTGCTGATCAATTTTAAGGATTTATTTTACATAAAAACTTCGTTATTTCAAATACAACACCCTGTATTTTTTGATTTGGTTTGGTTATTTTAAATGAAACACTATGTATTTTTTAAAATAGATCGAAGCAGATTTAAATGCTCTTTCAAACTATATTAGGGTTGCCTATACCTATCTAGCTTAGATTTTCAATAAGGAGCAATTTTTCAATAAAATGACAACCAAGAGGGTTAGTGTCGAGGGCAAGTTTATAGTAACAGTTAGGAGCTATTTTTAAAATCGAAATTAGTTTATAGACGTATTTAAATTTATACAAGTTTACTTTTATTTAATTTACCTACACTAGTTTAATAAATAATATTTATTAAATATGTATTTATTATTTCATCAAGAAAAACGAAGAAGTAGTTCTTTGATTTACTTTACGATGACTTGTAGAAATATCGATTTTCTATAAAAGAGCCAATTATGGCAAATTCATTTTCTTCACTTCCAATGACAGGTTTCTGCCAATTTGGTTTTTTATAAACACCAGCTATGCCAAATAAAACTAGTAGTTTTTCAAAGGAACGGTTATCAGGAAGATTCCTATTTAGATATCTTTGAGCATAAGCCCTTGAGGCCAAGAAGCAATTTTTCTCACAAAATAAAGTCACTCACATATCCATTCGTTCCGCCAGCAGATACTGCTTTATTTTTTTGATAAAATAATGAATACTTACTTATTAAACTATTGTAGGTAAATTTAAGTTAACTTGTATAAACTAAAAATAATAATGTCCATAAACAAATAATGTCGATTTCGAAAATAGTTACTAACTGTCAATAAAAAATTGCCATGGCGACACCAGCTATCTGGATTGCCATTTTTTTAAAAATCGCTTTTTATTCAAAATCTGAGTTAGATAGGTATAGGGAACCCTAATATAGTTTGAAAGAGCATTTGAATCTGCTTCGATTTATTTAAAAAAAATACAGGGTGTTGTATTCGAAATAACGAAGTTTTTATATAAAATAAATCCGTAAAATACATCAGCAATTTTTGGTACCCCTGTATAAATTGAAGGAAGTTATAACATTTTTCAGTAAAGTTTATTTCTCTACCTTTAAACTCAGTACAAGAATTAATTCTGAAAAGTAATGTACAGGGTGTTAATAATATATTCTATTGTAGCATGCATATTTAAATATCTTTAAATATCTCAAAAACCAAAGATTTTAAACATATGTAACCCTTAAAATAAATGCCTTTTTTTGGGCCCAATTGAATCCAAAAGTGAAATAAAATACCGGGTGTTCCATAAGAAAAAATATAACTTTGGTATGGATCTTAGTTCTGAAACACCCTGTATATTTCAAAGTAATTTTAAATTGTGCACATTGCCTCCCCACACACACCCATAAAATATTTTGTTTCTGTATTTTTACGTTGTCGTATAATCAACCGAGGCGAATGAGGTGCGCCACCCTGTATAACTTATTTTTTCTTCTAGGTTAATGGACAGTAATAAAGCATGTCTTGACTCTCATCTGGCATCTGCATGTGGAAATAGCATAACCAGAGAAGCCTTTTTAGATGTTTTCAAAGTTCTAAAGAACGTCTGCAATACATATTCTCAAAGTTCCCAAAATAACATCGAACTTCTTTATTAAAATGTGTAACATAATAAATATTAATATATGTAATGGAATAAATCGAAAAAAATATAAAATAAAAATGTAAACATAAGCCCATCTCGTTTTTTTAATGTGCGACGAATTCGATTAAAAACAGTCATAATATAACTGTCATAATATTATCATGATCTATAATTAAAATAAATTATTTATTACTTGTTAAAAAAATATTTAAATATTTTATAAATACACATCTAGCTATTTACTGTTCTTTTTCTTTTATTACCAGTCTATAATAATCCTCTTTCTGTATTTTTGTACTTCTAATGTACAGGGTGGTCGAAATTGGTCTGTTTTGACAGAGAAAACCTATTTCCTGACTAGATAGAGCAAAACCGACATAGATGTCATAGGCTCGATTTCTGAGACACCTTTAATGGCGTAAACCGCCTGTTGATATTTTCACTGCCAACTGAGATACGGGGTCTTTTTGAATTTTTTACCATTTGGAAAATTGCCCATAACTTTTTATTTCGCGGAATAACAAAATTCTGTAAAAACGTTCTTAAGGCACTTTTCCAGTGGCATATTCAGTTTTTTCTATGCTTGCTCTTTGTATCAGAAATAACGAAAAATATATTTTTTTAAATGGAAATCATAGTTGGCTATGAACTTAAAAATGCTGGCGTTAAGATAAAAAATAATATAGAATATTTAATAGTGATAAAATATAATTAGGCAACTAGGTCAACACAAAATCAAGGCCCGCTTCGATACAAAGATAAAAAACCTAATATTTCTCTCATTCTTAAATACAAAAGTTATGGTCAATTTTCCAAATGGTAAAAAATTCAAAAAGACCCCGTATCTCGGTTGGCAGTGAAAATATCCCAACAGGCGGTTTACGCCATTAAACGTTTCTCAGAAATCGAGCCCATAACATCTATGTCGGTTTTGCTCTATCTAGTCAGGAAATGGTGTTTCTCTGTTAAAACGCTAGATCATATATACCGTATGATCGAAAAAAAATGGCGTCCAGTTGGCTGGGAAATGACGATCGCTGACATTACCCATATAATTTTACATATAAAATGACAGCGATCTTCATTTCATAGCCATCGCTGATACCGTTTTTATTCGATCATACGGTACTTACGTGGATAAGTAAATCACTATGGAAACTGCCCCAAACATATCAACGACTTCCATTTATCTTCTTTTTTTGTTGCACACGTGGTGCTTTTACTCTATCTATCCATGTCGAGGACCTATCGCCCACGCGCCAAATTTGAACATTAATTTTAAAAATTTAATTTGTAAAATGCATGTACATAATGCATATATTTGAACAATAATTGAATGTTACTGTCACAAAAATTAAATTATACAAAAAATAAATTAGCCACTCCGTACGAATATCAATATTCTTAGGAAATCTAACCAGAAAGTATGCATGTGGTTTAATATACATAAAAGAACAACTGAATACTTTACTTGCCTGTGAAAAGTTAATTCGGGGACATTTATATTATAATTTCCACACACCAAACACTTTCTTGTCATTTTTACGAGTACCTATTTACCCAAAATTAAAACCCAACGAATAAAAAATAGAATATAATTGCACAAATTTAAAATTAACTTCTCACTGAACACACTTGCATCCTTGGCTATATAAAAGCGGTCGATAAAAGAGTAATAAATACAATATTTAAAATAAAAAACGCAAAAAACAAGCGTAGTAACACAATGGAAATAACATTATGACCGACAAACCAAAAACAACAGCCAAGTTTTTGGTTTTCTTATGGCCGCCATTTTGAATTTTTATATTGTTAGATAGCAAAATAAAAACACTAAATCACCACAATACACCAAAACACTTTTACTTTTACACTGGATGCGAGTTTCACTAACCATGTTAGCATCATCAGCAGATGATTATAAACTAAAGTACAATCTACAAGTTGAGCGTTTATATACTCGCTCAGTGGGCACCGAGTGGGTGTGGCAAAATCTAGTCAACCGAGTCAGAGCCCACTGAGCGTAACAGTTAGATTTCCGCCACTAGAGTAGTAGGAACAAAGAACTTGAAGGAATTGGACCGTTGTCTCTGTTCATACTATCTTTACAATTATTAATTCTGATGCTTTCATATGCATCTAATTGCCTGTAATTTGAGACTTGTTTAATTAATTTTAAATTATTAAGATCTATACAATGTTCTTTATCAACAATATGTTCGGCAACGCAAGATTTATCCCGTCTACCATATCTTATCTGAGCTAAATGTTCTTTAAATCTAGTTAATATTGATCTTCTAGTTTGCCCAACTTATTTCTGATTACAATCTTTACAAGAAATTTCATAAATACCCGACCTTTCCAGTGGAGGTGTTTTATCCTTTGGATTACCTAATAATTGTTGTAATTTATTGTTAGCACTATACACAAGTTTATAATTTACATTCTTCAAAATTCCTTTTAGACCACGGGATAACTCTCTATCAAACGGCATCGAAAAATATTTAGACGTGTCTTTCTCCACTTGAAAAGTCGAATTTTCAGAAATCATTAACCTATACCTACGTTTTCTAATTAATTTATCAACTAGTGAAGGAGAATATCCATTACACTCAGCTACATTCCTAATGTAATCTCTTTCTATTTCATATCTTTCTTTGGAAAGTGGGAAACTAAGTTATCTATGAACTAGGAAATTTAAACTAGCCATTTTATGTTCACACTATGATGTGATTCATTAGAAAGTTCAATCAGCTATAAATAACAAAATAAAAACACTAAATCACCGCTGATCAAATCAAACTGAAGTTTATAATCATCTGCTGATGATGCTAACATGGTTAGAGAAACGCGCGTCCAGTGTAAAAGTAAAAGTGTTTTGGTGTATTGTGGTGATTTAGTGTTTTTATTTTGCTGTGTAACACCAAAGGTTCCAACCCTCAACTGTAATTGTTAGATAGAGCCAAAAAATATAATTTTTTTTTGGCTTGGTATCTAATTTTTATTCATTATTATGTAAATTCACTAAAAAAATAGATTTTTTCAAAATTCGCCGAATATCCAGTCTGCTATGGAAATGCAATTGACAGTTTATATGTCAGCAAGCTATTTTTTGTTTATTCTATTAAGTGTCAAATTTGGATGCACAAAAATTGTGTAGTAGAGTTCAATACAGGTCAATACAGAACCTAAAATGTTATTGTCAAGAATGCCAGCCCAGACGTTCAAAGAATATCTTATTTGTGGTCTGGTTTCTCTAATTAAATGAGGATTTTCTTTTGCATAATAATGTGATTTTTTTTCTCTTAACTGTATCTACCAGAATTTGTAAATAAAGATTCATTCGTCCATAATATTTTTGTAGAAAAAAGGATACACTCTTCTCGAAACCATTTGCAAAATTGTAATATTCTCTCGTGATCACCAGCATGTAAAATATGTAAATTTGGTACACATTTAAATTTAAAATTGTGATATTTATGTTTTTTGATAATTTTCCCTACATAAGAATCACTTATACAACACTCGCGACTTATTTTACGGGATGAAGTTTCCGGATTTACTTAAATCTGAACTGGCACATTAATATCATTAAACCTTTTAAAATGTTGCCCTCTTGTTTTTTAAAGCTACCAGCAACTGCTAAATTTCTTGAAATCCTTGCGAAAATAGTACGATGAGGCTGTGTCCTTTCAGGAAACAATGTTCTATAACTTGCGCATGCCATATCGGAATTTCTATTATGTTTAGGTAAACGTAAACATCATACATATCTCGTGTTTTCTCACTTGTGAACATATTGTTGACTGTTAATACACTTTACACTATCTTCTATAAATTTGTGTGTCCAGATTTGACACTTAATAGAGTAAACAAAAATTAACTTGCTGTCATATAAAGTGTCAATTTTATTTCCAAGGCAGACTTGATCTTTTAAGCGAATTTTTTAAAAATCTAATTTTTAAGTGAATTTACACAATAATGTGTAATCGGGAGATTAATATATTTAACAGAAATTGATATTTAAAATGTAATTCTAACTAGCTTGACAAACAATATCTTCTCTCGGCCGAAATCAACAATCTCTCACATTCAACTGTTTCCAAATAGTGATGGGTTGTTATTTAACTATCTGTTATTTTATAACAATTATTTAGAAATAACATAACGCAACCGTTACTACTTCTAAAAAATAACAGATATAAAATAACGACACGTAGAGATCGGCCGCTCGTGAATCGAAAAACGAAGTCGGCGCTCTGCACCGCCCCGAAATTCTATGCTGCTCGAAGCAATTCCAAAAAACAACTAGTATGGATGGAAAACCTGTTATTTCGTCAACCATCGATACAGGCGGCGAGACAACGGACAACGGAGTGGGGAATGCGCTACGGCGAACGTAGCTGCTTCGGTCGATCCGTCGACGGTCGTATTGCGCTATAACAGCTTAAAAATAATAGGATATAAAAGAAGCAGGTTTTTTGAAACAGTTGCGGGCATAACGCCTGGCGGTCGAGATAACAGGAGTGGGAAAGGAAGGCTGCTGCATCGGTCGATTGTCGATGGAAGTTCGAAACAGGTTGGAGAATAACGCATCAGTTGTTTTAGATATATTGTTTTTCAACCTGTTACGAGCATAACGGGCGGAGGTCGAGATATTATGGCGCTGTATGTTTCAGTACGTTATTAAGTTTCAATATTTAGGTATTTATTTATTCTGAAAAATTTTCAGAATAATATTTTAAGATTTTTTAAAAATGTATACAGGGTGTTTTGAAAAATCTGGTCATTGATTAATCACGATCCTGCTTAAAGCCCTTGACGTAAAAAGCTGATTTTTGGAAAACGGATTGACTTTAGGGTGTAGAGGTTCGATAAGAAGGGATTTTTCGAAACTCGAATTCAAAGGGGGTGAAACCACCCTCAAATATTAGAATATTTTTTATTTAAAAACCGGTGAGTTTTCCGGAAAAACTCTTAAACACGTATATTTTATTTCGTTGTTTTACATATTTTAAGATTTTTTAAAAATATATACAGGGTGTTTCATAAAATGTGACCATTGAGTAATCACGATTCTGCTTAAACTGCTTGACGTTTAAAGCTGATTTTTGGCAAACGGATTGACTGTGGGGTTGAGGTTCGATAAGGAGGGGTTTCTCGAATCTTAAATTCCAAGAGGGTGAAAACGCCCCTCAAATATTACAATATTTGTTATTTAAAAAACGGTTAGTCTTTCGGG